AATTAGAAATCTTAAAAATTTTATATAAATTTTTAATATTAAAAGTATTCAGAAAATATTCCAAATATTTTAATTATATTCCAGATAAAAATTTTAAAAATATTATATAAATTTTTTAAATTAAAAATATTCTGAAAATATTCCAAATCTTATTTAGATTTAATTTAGTAAATTTTAATAATAAGATATATTCCGAAAATACCTCTGGAAATATTCAGATTTAAATTTATATAATTTTAATTCCAAATAATAAAAGAATCGGCAATTTTTTATGTACCTGAATTTTGTGTAACATCATGTACCTCAATTCAGATCGACCAATAAAATTTTACTATTTTTTATATCGACTCTAGTGAAAGTTAGACCGTCATTATTACATAATTAATTGCTTGTGGTCCTATAAATACTTAGTTTTTCAAAAATAACGATTAAATATGAATGACTTTTAAAATAAATTCATAACTACCTTATAAGTATTTAACACTTTCCAATCGATCAATTCTTTTTTATGATTTTACGTATCTTGAGCAATTGTAACACAGATAAACTTTGCTGCATCTACTTTAATACAAGCTTTCCCTGATAATGATAACAAGCAAACAACCGAATTAGGAAATAATTAAAGCGAAGTAAATTTCTGACAGGACTTTTTCCGATCTCATGAAATAACTAAATTAGATAAATTTCTACACCTATCTTTGTACAAGATTTTTCCCAATTGAAACGAGTGGATAAAATAACTGATTTAGGATAAAGAGGCCTACATAAAGAGCAAAGCAAGTATAAAGAGCAAAGCAAGTTTTCTTTCATGTAAAAAAAAAAAAAAAAAAAAAAAAAAAAACTGGTTTAATTAATAATTTTTACTTTATTTTGTATTTTTGTAGACAGAACGCGAAATACTTTAACAAGTTTTACTCATTAAATCTTGTAATAATGGATCACAGCATCGTTGAATCTGGGTGTGACTTTGATACCTTTGAAGAAGTTCGTGCAACAATCGAAAGATATGCAATGCAAACAAATATTGTTATAATACTAGGAAGGATGACAAAAAATCCTAATAATAATAGTTATATACAGGTGCTTTTTGTATGTGAAAAGCAAGGAAAATATGGTGAAAAAAATGATGAATACACTACTAAGTGTACTGGATACCCATTTGCTATTGGTATAAACTATCGTAAGCATACTAAAAAATTTGTCATAACTAAGTCACATCTTGAGCATAATTATAATATTTGCTTAGATACTACAAAGTTTAGTACTGTTGTTCGAAAACTTGATAAAGATGATCTGGGTTTGGTAGAAAAGCTTTATGATAACAGACTTAGAACAAAAGATATTTTTTCAGTATTAAATTCAGTTAGTTCAAGATATATTCACAAACCTGATGCGTATAATGCAGTAAGCCGTCAACGTAAACGTAAGTTGCAAGGTTTAAGTGAGATTGAATTACTTTTTAAAACTTTGCGTGATGACAAAAGCATTGTAGGCAATATTGCACTAAAGGACGCATATAATAATGAACGAGATCAGAATGGTGAATTTATTCAGGCAATTTTTTGGGCGTACCATAATTCAATTTTAGAATTTTCAGTAGGAAAAGATGTTTTAATTATCGATGCTACTTATAAAACAAATAGGTTTTGTTTTGTTTTATTTATTTTTTAGTCTTTATTTGTTTTTTAGTCTTTATTTATTTTTTACTTTTTTAATTTCTTATACATACATATGGTGAACAAACAGGTTTTTGATGCCTTTAATTACTATTTGTAGCATTGATCGATTTGGATCTACATATCCATTAGCATTCGCACTTGTATATTCAGAAACACAAGAGTTTTATAGTTAGGTGTTACAACAACTAAGTCAAGTTCTATTCATGTTTACTGGAAGCGCACAAGTAGAAATAATTATGGCTGATAGAGAACTAGCTCTAATGAAGTCAATTGCTAATATATTTCCTTATACAAGACATCAGCTATGCACGTGGCATATTTTTAAGAATATTAGGAATAAACTTCGAAAAGATATTGATATTGACGAATTTACTAAGGTTATTCAAAAACTTGTCAATAGCGATCTTCAGAAAAACCAAATTAAGCAAGAGATCAACTCATTATGAAATCAATTTGCAAGTGCAAAAGCATATATGTATGCAACATGGATGCCACATAAAGAAAGTTGGCTTGCACCTTATACGAAAAGTAATATAAATCTTGACATAAGGTCAAGTCAACGTGTTGAGAGTTTGCATAGCAAATTAAAAGGTGTCGAAAATCGTATAACACCAATTGATAAGGTATTTTCAGTTCTTTGGAAACAGATGTAAGAATTTACTCAAAAACAAGCATATGAAACATTTATACATCAAAATAAACATACACATGATGGAACAGATACTGGTCTAGAAAAGTTAAGATTAGTATACTCACAATTTGCATTCGAAACATTTATAAAACCAGAAGGAGATCTTGCTAAATCTAATATCTATGAGATATTTGAAAGCAGTAATGATATTTATAATGTAATGCGAATTGATAATGAGTCTAATCAGATACGTATAGTAAAACTTGCATCTCCTAGCACCTGTACATGCCTGCATCCATGACGAACTAGGACTCCATATCGTCATATTATTGCAATTTATTTATTTCATTTACATACCTATGTGCCACCAAATGAGGTCTATCAGCGTTGGAATGTACATAATCATGCAGAAATAGAACATGCTACTTCTTCTCATATCACACAAATTTTTGAACAACTTCTAATATATCACTATAGTGCTTTTTCAAATTTGATACAGCAGGCTTCGGAATATATTATTGAGCATGGAGAAATACCAAAACTTTCACAAAAAAACCAAACTAAAACAAAGGCTATTTTTGAAACAATCAGTATTAAAAATACAGCAAATTGTGAAAAAATTCAGATGCCAGTAATTAAGTGTTCATGTAGTCAGCCACCAAATAATAATCATATTCGTAGTGCAGATGAAGACAAAGAAAACAAGATGTCTTTGAATAAAACTGTAATTAAGCATACATGTGGTTGACCTCCAAAAAATATTGTTAAACAAAATTTAAATAACATAGTTGCATCGCATCTACCTAAAGTATATACTAGTTCACAAATTTCTCAAGATATGATATTGCAAGTTCATAATCCTATTGGCGATAGTCATTGTGGATTTAGATCTTTAGCTGTGGCTATTTTAAAAGATGAGAAAAGGTGGCAAGAGATTAAAATTACTATGAGAGACTATTTGGTTGAACGAGAAGAAATGTATGGTAATATACTTGGATATAATTTTAAACAACTTATGGATATTTTATCATATATAAAACCAGAATGTTCACAGGATTACTGGTTTTATACACCAGAATGTGCATAACTAGCATCAGACATATTTAATGTGCCAGTTGTAATATTTGGTGCAGATCCTACTGCAAGTCTTTTTTTTTTACCATTTGATAAAAAACCTGGTCGCTGTAAAAAACCTATTATTTTGCAGTGGTATGGATATAATCATATTATGTTTGTACAGCTTAAGTTAAATAAGAATGTTCAGCTTCCACCTTTAAATCTACAATATTTACCAATTTGCCGTCAGCTAGGTTTTTCTGAAGATTGGCTTGCGATCTTTTCATAAACTTTTTTTTTATACATTTGTATTTTGATTTTAAGTATAGATCTATCTATTCGTATATATATCATGTATACAACTATTATTAACAAATAATATTTACATAGTAAATGCTATAAGAATTAACAGAAAACAGATGCAGTTATTATTTAAATATTTAGCAGCATAGTAGTAGGAACGTATATATTTAAGTTTGAAGTATAAATATTGATTTATTTATAAAAATTTATGCTCATATTGTTATTAGTAAACTAACGATAGCAAAAAGTTAGATAAGTTTGATAAAAATTAAGAACTAAACTAAGAAATTATAAGTAGTTTACTTAAATTAATATGTATATTAGTACCGTAAGTACTATGTAAAGAGCTGAATACAGAATATATTATAGAAGTAATAAATTACTCATGAGTATTATTAAAAGAATTTGTATCACGAGATTTTATTCTTAGAGGTACTATATGTTCCAGATTTCATTTTTTTATAAATTATAATGTAAGTTCATATATATATATTTTTTTTTATAACTATAAACGATTTGATTGGTCAATCCGAATTGAGGTATATGATATTACACAAAATTCAGGTACATAAAAAATTGCTGTAAAAGAATATATTCCGAAAATTTTTTAATTTAAATTTATATATAAATTAAAATAATTTTAATAAAAAAAAACATTTCAAATTTTAATAAAAAAAAATATTTCAAATACTTTAATAAAAAAAAATATTTCAAATACTGTAATAAGAAAATGTATTCTAATTTTTTATATAAGTTGATTTTCTTTATCT